TAAAAATTAATAATAACAACCGATTAGCTTTTAGTATTCGGCGCTATTGTTTGCAAAAGAAGCTCTGGGTATCCCATTCATTATGCTAAGCATACCAAGTACCATCAAGGCATCAACCAAACCAAATCTAACTTAAACGAAAGAAATTTTGGTTAATAATTTTATAAGAAAACTAAACGAACGGAGCAAACCAATAGACTAATAGTCATGATCCAACATAGAGAAGGGAAAAACTATGAATTACAATCAAGGAAAAGTGACAGAAGTCAAGCAAAAGTTTTTGGGCACCGAATATTATTATTTTTGGATGGAAACCTGATCAAGCTTTGACCATCGGCCCATAAAACATCGTTAAGGGTTTTCAGACTGAGAAGCAAGAGAGGAAGAATCTCTTGATAAGAAAATCTATGAACCCAAACGGAGAAACTTTAGCAGCAGCGGCGTATTTGATCCTGTCCTTGTCCAGTTCCACATTCTTGACCCGTTCCTTGAGGAGTTGTGGGACCGGAGAACCATCGGGAACTGCTTTCTTCCTCTCCAAGGAAACATCCTCGAGCTTTGACTTCAACGAGTCTAGCTTGAAGCCTACTTTCGTCAGCTCAGTCAACTGGTTTTGAGCATTTCTTAGTTCAATCACAGATACGCTCTGTGGAGACTTGCTCAGTGTCTCGATGAGGCAGTAGAAGAGAGTGAAGTATACAGCTTCCAGCTCTCCGTTCTTTGGCTCGAAATCTTTTAAATAGGTTGGGTGATGTGTGCAAATCTTGGCCTTAGAAGCAGCCTGGCAAAAAAGAAATAGCTAGTTGTTAATAATGGGATACAAAGGAAAAAAAAAAGGAAACAGGTGGCTCCTAAACTTAACTTACTTGAGAAGCAAAGACGTGGACACCATGGGAATATAATAAATCATACTCAGTTGATTTTCCTTGATGAACAACTTGAGTTATTTCAAAGTAGACTCGAATGGTTAGTTTGTCGTTCTCGAGAAACCCTTTTTCTTGAAACTTGGAAAGAGGCAACGTCCTATACGACCTCCTAAAGAAATTCCAGGATGGGACCTCAGCACAGAACAGCATGTCTCTGCAGCTGTTGTCTGTAAAATATATATGTACCAACTTTAGTTTTCTTCATTATCAATCAATTCAGATAATAAAGATGATCCCTATATATTACCACCAGGTGGTGATCTGTAGAGCACTTTGCCGGATTGATTAAAAAAACCGATTGAAAGGCTAAGTCTCCTTTTCCATCCAAGTCTCAATGATCTATGATTATATGCGCCCAGAGACAGGGACAAGTGATCAAAACCATGGCATCCCTTGGGATATATTGTAAGAAACCTAATTAAGGCAAAAAAAAAAAAACCACATCAGATTCATAAACCCTTATTCAATCTTTTTTAGACAATTTGAGTAAGAAACGAGGGTAACGATTTTAACCATTCACAGCCGCCGATTAAGAAGGGCTTCGACGTTATCACATCCTTCTTGTCCGAAAAGTTGTCTATCTCCAAACTGACGAAGTCCTTCGTCAATGCCGCCCCCATCTGCCTTTGGGGTTTTATTTTAGAGTTTGAATCCTTCCTCGCTCCTGTTATTATATGTAAGTTTAAACAAAACTTTATAGCTAGGTCAAACCAAATCTTACAATCATAATATATAGAATATTATATTTACTATAGGTATTATTACATTTGTAAATTAGTTAACTTATGATATTGTGTGATTATGTGATGTTGTATTTAACATTTTAATAAAGAAAATATATAAGATGTACTATTAATTGTTTGCTTTATGTATCTATTATTTTATTTTCATAGTAATTTATATCTATAGATACCACCACCCATCCAAAAAAGTTGTATTACTTGTCCCAATCGTAAATCTATAAACTACAAATGACATGAAAATGAAAGATAAAAACACACATCGCAAATGAGGCCTTAATTATGTATCTCAAATCTGAATCCATCTTTTTAAGTCTAAGCACATCAATTACATAAAGTTCGACCTGAAGTGTTATCATGATGAGTATTCTCAAGAATAGATCGAAGTGCACAATACCAGAAGCTCCAAATACAAATGAGCGTAACACAAAGTCTAACAAAAGAGGAAGTTTAACCATATTGGCCAAGGTTTATGTGCTATTTAAGACTTCACCTCCATCTGTTCAAGAAAAAGATGCTCTTAGCTTTCTTTGATCTCACGAGGAATTCTCTTTGCATTTAGCTGGTGATGAAAATTGAAATGCATCAGCAATATTAATTGGTGCCACCTTTTCATTGGTCTTCGAATTAATAGCCCCACTTAAAAAAAATCAAGAACCAGCAATTATCCACATCTCGCCAACAGTTGTATAATTACTTCTATAGGCATTGGTTAAAGTGCGAACATAATGTTCTCCTTCCATGTCTCTATATCAAACTCATGATCCAGTTCTTCCAGATGCCATCTTGGCAAACAAAAAAGCAATAATGAATCAGAAAAAAAAAACAAATTTAATAATCGCTGCTTTAGTTTATAGTTCTTAACCTTCCTTAGTGTATTTTCTTCTTCCTCAGCCTCATATGAAATGTATAACCCTCCCCTGTAATTATAAGTAATGAAAAAGTGTAGAGACAGATAATGATAGAATATCCAAGAGCAAAGACATCTTGAAAATCATTATGTGAAATTGTTGAGATTTGAGTTCTTGTGAACCCCTCCACATGCGCCTTTCAGAATCCTGATCTTTTCTCTTCATAACATTGTGCACCCTCACAGGTAGAGCTCAAAAGCATTGCAATTACAAATAACCATTTTATAACTAATTACAAACTAAAGCTTCTCCTTTTCTATGAAGCGCAACATTGACATCTGTAAAAATTAACGAGAATTAAATATATTCTAGTTACTAGGAGAAGAGCAAAACAAGACTCCAAATGGGTTTTAAACTGACCGTTATCCTTCTCCTTTGATTTACTACCAAATTTTTTCAAAGCCAAAGAGAAGGGGTTTTGACTTGCAAGATCAGTCTGCAAAAAGCATGTAAAATAATCAAATAAAATGGTACTACTGTCATTAACTAATCAACGATAGTGTTAGCTCACTTTTGAGAGCGTTGGGCTAAAACCAGCATCCAAATCTGAAACCAAGAGTGTACATGAAACATGCTCTCATTAAACAATTTAAAACAGATACATATACAATTGACTATGTGCGAGGGCATCATACCGACAGCATTTCTGCAAAGTAGTTGCTCTGTCTCCCTTTTCCATAAACGGAATTGATGCCTACACACAGTTATTGGAAACACAATTACCCACAGTCATAAACATTTTAAATCCTGGACACACTTAAAACCTTGTCTGGCAACAGGAACTGTGAGTACTCCAGGAAGACCAGCAAATTGTGACCAAAGAAGACTAACCCAAGGGACTTCTGGGAGTAGACGACCAAGTCTTCTTACAGAAAGACGACTAAAAGTTTCAAAGCTTTCAGAAGCTTTGTATCCTTCCTTTCCTAAGCTTTCCAAAATAATATCAATGCTCTCTTTATAAATGCTCTCAGTTTCCTGTCACATAAATAGAAAAGAACTTAAAGTGTTCAGTTCAAGAAGGTAACCAAAGGTCAAGTTCGCTTCTTTGGAATGGATAGTCATACCCGTACGATTGGAAAATAAGCAAACTTGAGGCGAGCGTTTGCCTCCTGGGATGTCAATGACCCTGGATGAGAAAAAATATATAGTCAGACTCCAAACAATGAGATCAATATTTGGATTCATCGTTCGGCAGAAAACGTATATTGAGCCCTAGTTTTAGTATCTCCATGTAAGTTACATTTGCTTTCACTGTTGCTACACAAAAAAATGACATATGTTCTTTGGGAATATGAAAAAATATTACTTATCTGTTTCTATCCACACACACACACACGACTGCAGTTTTGTTACAAGGGACATAAACTTTTTCCATGTCAATCTGAATATATGTTCATTTGAAGATATCTAATAATATTTTCAGATAGATAGTTCTGGCTGTTTACTACCAAATGCTGGAGCGAAAGCAGCCAGACGCTTAACTGAGAGGAAGCATCTTGAACTGTTGAAGGGTTGATACCTTTTTTCATTTCACTATGGACGAATCGAATCTGAAACCAAAATTCTCGACCCTTGGAGTTTAGGTTGATAGTGGCAACCTCTCCACCTGTTAACTCAGCTAAATCCTCTCCATTGACCTGGACAATGTATATGAAAAAACAACCAAGGAAATTAGAAAAGATTGAAACTAAGAGCACTAAAAATAATTTTAATTAGAATGATAATAACAAACCTGAAACTCTACAGGCCTTTCGGTCCTCCCAGTTTTAGAGATTTCATCACACTACAGGTTGACAAAAGAAAAATGAAACCTCCCGACAAAGAAACACCATAATAAAGAGATCACCACATATTGTTATTAGCAAACGAAATCCTGGATGTAAGGAAAATATATGTTCTTGAGTCTGCACTGAAGTTGATATATTTCTGGAATCTTACATTCCGATTCAAATATCTCAACCTGGAAATAAAACAGAATAGCAGTTTCAAATAAGCAGATGCATATTATAACTCGCTGTTTCATGAAAATAGAGGACCATATATTAAGGGCACGCAGGAGAAAGTGGAGATATGGTTATAGGACTCTAGAACAGCACCAAAAACTTTAATTTATGCACAATCTTATCATTAGAGCATAATGATTCAATAAAAAAGTATCACTGAGAGTGATGAATAAACAAACATGGAGATTATTTTGTTAAAAGTGATAAACCCAAGAAATCCAACTGGCCCAGAATTTAGGAGATCATTTGTCCCCAAGAAAGTAGCAACATAAAATATGGTTTGTACCTTTGTGAAGCTTCCATGAGGTGATAACTTGATTTCCTCCTCCAGAGATGCATGTCTAGTTATGTAGAATGACGCATGATAACTTATAAACTGCAAGCAAAAAATGTTCTAAGATTCTTGAGGCAGAGTTAACTACCATAAGGTATGGTGGTTCGCTTCCAATAGCTTTGGATTTGTGATACCTATGTAATGAAGCCCCTATTTTCCCCCTGCAGTGTTAAGAAAATGAAGACTGCTTAAAGATCAAATTCGTAGTATCAACTTGACTAAAGAAAATTTGATTGAAGTATGAAGTCATTTATGTTATATAGCTTTCACAGTAAAATTAATATTTTATACCAATCCATTCCATGTTTTAAGAACCTCACCATTTATCGATAGAATTTGCTTTGCTACTGTCCATTCCAGTACCAGGAATCGAAGATGGAAATCCGATCTTCGAGAACATCGACACTGCAAAAGCAATTACATGAAATCAAAGATAAAAAATTATTTAAGTATATGACCTTTTTGGACAAGAACAAACCTAATCAGTCTTCGATCTCCCCGTGAACAAGACCACACAGCTTGCAAGGAATTATCCTGTGATATAAGCAAAATGAAAATTGAAGTTCATAAACGAGAGAACTACAAACTAACAAAATTAATTAACAGAACAAGAAAGGATGGTCCAGACAACATGGAGTTTAATTTTACAAAGAAACCAAGCAAAGATCGCAACAATGAAATAACAAAACCAGTAAACTACTTTTATAGTTTTATTCAATTCACCTAACCACTGCACCATAAAGAGAATTTGATTAACGAGAGAATCGCAAATCCAATTCCAAGTGTAAAAGCAAAACTGTCCAACTGGTTCTGCTCAACTACATTTCAGCGTGTTAGCTCTCAACCAACTGACAAATCAATTGTTGCTAAGTTGTTAACACAGCTACAGACTACTACAGAGTACAGACCCCATAGGCTCATGCACCAGACTAATACAATACCGGCGGCCTGAATTTGAGCTTGTCCTCAAGCTGAGAATGAGGTTACTTCTTGTGAATCTCCCTCCATAACTGCTAACCAACCTCCGCTTTATCAGAGTCTCTATGTTCGTCATTGGAGCAGCCATGGTATACAAGTTTATACGTGTAACTAAGACCACTGCAAATTAGTAGTCAGTAACCCCAAACTAAGTACCTAAAACCTACCACCAATGCCAACGGAATAAGCCTTCACCTCCGGCTCATTTTCTGCAAGAAGTACTGCTTATGGACTCAACTTTCTGTTTGCCTATTTAACTTAGAAATACAACTTAACAACTCCAAATGCCATATCCTTCTTCTTCTTTCATTATACTCATCCTAAAGACTAAGGACCACAACATTAACTCAAGCGAGCAACAGCCTGATGTCTACTACAACAAATCCATTCTGTCCAAAGGGTTCATACAGGACCGCTTATACTTATATAAAGTTCTGTCTTTTCTGTCTCCTCTTCTTCACTGTATTGTCATTGAGAGATTTCATCGAGCACCTGGAGGGTGTCTTTCCATCTTGACACATGTCTTCAACTTTTCCACCTCCTAACCACTATTTCACACACAAATTTCACAGCTGTTCCGTTCTTGTGCTAAGTTTCGAAATCTTCTTCTGAAACTCCGAATCAGTACGCACCAACTCCTCCGAGAGATCCTTGCAAAAGTCACCATTGATGGAGAAAGACGAACCGGTTAACGAGTAAAATCTCTTCTCTCGAACCAATTGCCAAACCAAATCTTATTAAACCGAAAGCTGACTCAGCTAACTAACTTACCAGATTGTTGCTGAGCTGTCAAAACAGCTACAATCTACTACAAAACCTCTTAATGTAATTTTTTTAAAAGAACTTTGTATTAAGTCCACAATAACCAACACAAAACACACAAAATTTTATGTTTTAACTTTACAGGTAATTTTTCGAGAGAAACTTACAATGAGATCCGCAATAGCTGTCTCAAAGCTATAAGTTTGAGGTAGTTCCTTAAGCAAATCAGTATCAGGTGTTAAATCCCATATGTTCTGCAAATACCAAGAACAAGACCATCATCAAACCAACTTAAGGAGACAATTATACATAGCAAAAACTATATAATAAAACCAACCTCATACATAAGAGAAGCCTCTCCAGACCCATCATGATTCAGAGATTAATCAAAGAACATCAAAAAAAAAAAATTATACTATTGGCTAAATTGATAGATAAGAAACATAACAAGTAGCAAAATGAAAAGGTTAAATACAACAACTCACATCAAGACGTATTATATTGCAGAAATCAGGCTTAAACTTATCAAACCGAACGATTTGTTTAATCTTTTCACCGTTAAACTCGAGATAAGATTTAGCAGCCAAATTCCAATCAACCCGCTTCCTCATCTTACCGGACAAGATACAATTTTTACGGGTTTTCTCATATTCCTCTTTCACCAAGTTAACAAAATTCTTCATTGAGATTTTATTAGATTCAGGGTTGGTAAGTGTGAGTGTCACATTTGTGCTGTTTGGTAAAAGAATCGAGCCTGTAAAACTTATCTTCATCATCATCTAGACTCAATACTCTCTGAGCCGATCTCTTTTTACTCATCTGAAATTCAAAAGACATGATTCATAAGAGAAACTAACAAAAAAAAAACTCATGGATACGAGTTCTATCATTTCATTTTAAGTTTTTTTAGTGATTGTGCGTTAACAATTGTTTGGTGACTTAGAAGGCAAGTAACTAAAAGCTACATCTACTAAATACAAGTGCCTATAATCACCACACTTAGAAAGAAAAAAACAAAGTCGAATATCTGTGAGAAAGAAATAAACAGAATCCATGTAGATTAACTTGCATGTTATATATTCAATAAAAGAAGCCAAAATGGGAACACTAAAGTTGCCAAATAACAAGTTTTACTTTACTCGTAAGAGAGTAGGTAGCGGTGAAGAAGAAGAAGCCAATATATCACTTAATAGCATAATCGATCTACACATTCACATACATTACCATGCATGGATTTGTAAGAGAAGAAGATTTTCAACAACAAAAGACCACATGAATATAATCATAAACTTTATTACAACCTTCAGATGAACAATTCTTAGGTTTTGGCAGTGAAATTAACTTCCCGTACCTTAGATTTTGCAGACTGGTTTCTTTTTGAGTAAACAACCAAACGCTAAGAAGAAGAAAAATAAGAGAGAACAGAGAAGAAGAAGAGAAGTGAGAGTGTTGGGAAAATAGGAAGAGGAAGAGTCAAGGAGTGAGGTGAGTAATGAAGAGTCGAAAATTATAAAATGGGAATAAAATGAGTTTAATTGGTTATTTTTGGGGCTCCATTACCCAAGACGAGCAAAAATAGATGTGAAATGTTCAAGAAAACTTAATGAACGAGAAAGTTTGAGTGTGTATCTTCTGGATGAGTACCAAAGGAACCTATACACCATGAAACGTATGAGTATTTGAGGAGTTGAAAACAGATCAATGTCATGAAAGTTTTACTATTTTCAATGTCATAATTTCCTTTCAATATGGCAAGAACGAATTGAGACCATCAATAATGCTCTGCCAGTGAATAGCAGGGGAATCTTTTCCAAGAGACCTACCAGACCTTTGCACCCCTCCTTTTGAAATTCTCGGTGCCTGAAGTTCAAGTTTTGGGCAGAACAAAACACACATTTATCATCAAAGTGCAAAGCAGCAAGCGAGTGGTCACAGCATTGGGATACAACGTAAAGACAGGAAAACAAATATATAGCTGCGAATAGAGAAGTCAATGAAACCTGAATGCACATAGATATTAAAGCTGAGAGCTCTTGCTTCAAGTTATCCCTAATCATCCCAAATATTTTCTCCACATATGCTGCAAGCTGTTGCTTAAAAAGCAGAGCCGGGTATTTTGCCTCCACTGGGCGGATCACCGCAAGAGCAGCAGCTTCAGCCGCAGCAGCAAGGTTTGGTGACGAGCGGAAGCTCTGGTTAAACAATAAGGGAAAGGATAGTTAAGATTCAAAGTAAAAGATCCATCAAAAAGCCCTACTAGCACAGAAGTTAAAATACCAAGGCCATTCTTCCAAACAAGGAAGTTGTGATGGGTGGCTTCTTGCTTGCCGTTGCTTCAAGCCTGCAAAAGAAACATCAGCTAACTGTTTGAACCAGACAAGTATATATTACTGCCACTGCTAATTGATAGAGTTATGCAAGCAGTACCTCTGCATTGAAGTCTTCAACTTCGCTACTTTAGATTCTGCAGCCAACGCTTGCTTTAGTCTATGCTGACTAATCCTGGCTGGTTTATATGTTTGTGTTTTGTTAGTATAAGCTTAACTAAGGACTAAGAGTAGAGTTGTTTTGCCCGTAAAACAAGACTCTAATCTAGAGGTGAGTTCTGTTGTAAGATTGAAGAAGAATCAATGAAAAATGCACAAGTTTTAGAAGGAAAACGTTTTATGCAAAAGAGAATGAAGCATATTAACTCTGGCATATGCATTTTCAGGAACAACGAGTTGTCCTCCTGCTTGCAAGCTTTCTCTAAGAGACGACCCGAAACTTGATGCCTTTATAGCAACAGTATTCAAAGATATTGATAAATTTGAGGATCAGAGGAGGTGAAGTCTCAACATATTTTCCTTTTACAACTCCACATTTTCAGAGAAAAGTTACTTATTATGAGAGATTCCTGATTTTGTTGTGCCTTTCGTTTTTGGTTCGGGAATTGGCTTTCCATGGAGACAACAAGGCCCATGATAATAAGGTCAGAAACCCCCAAAGTATGTAACACACTAACTTAAGTAGAACTAATGCTTCTATGGTGACAGTGATTTGTACATCATTGTAATTCGGTTGGTTGCCTATGGTGGATTTCTTAATCAGAGTTGTTAATTGGTTTAGCAGATACTCTTATTCTTCACACTGGATATGTGATTTGTTAAAAATGTTGCACATGAAACGAAATAGATAAAGAAAAGAAAGAGAGTAACTTATTTACTGAAAATCTGCAAAAACCAACGACAAGCAAAACTCAATCCTGAAACTTAACTGGGACAAGGCTTAGGTATCAAAGTATAGCCTATAGAAAAAAAGAAGCAAGTTTCATTCAAAACACATGAGAATGAATACTCGAAACAAAGATCAGTGACAGAAGCAGGACTCCAGAACCTTAGAGATGGTCAAAACCGCAACAAGAAATACAAAGCCGCCCGCAGCCCACATGGACGCCTCAAACCCCACGTAAGCCAGAGACTCCACCGTGGCAACCAATCCTAGAACCAACCCCACTGCTTGGAACCCTCTCACAACCTTCTTAGTTCGGAACAACATGGATCCCATATAAAAACCAATGTAGAGAAGCATAGTCGGAAGAAAGAAATCGGGGAGCTTTGACTGAAGCTCGTCAGTTAAGTAGCTGTAGGCGGAAAGAATAGCGGGTTTGTCTTTTGGATCACTTTCGCCCTGAACCAGATAACTAGCCGGGACAAATAGGAACACTGTACCTAGAAGCCACTGAACAAAATGATTGCCCTTTTCTACAAAACGATTCCAGACATCTTTATCCTCTGCATTTGTTTCCTCTTGGCCTGCCTCCTCTTGGCCACCGTTAGCATTAGCTGGAGGAGTTCCCCACCAATTGAAGTTTCTGTCCGAAACCAGAACACAAAGAATCAATAAGACAAAACAATCAACCAAGGGAACAACAAGTCCAGAGGGGTTGAAATTTCTGTCGAATCCCAAACACAAGATCAACAAGAGGAAAACAAAAAGCACTGTTATGATCGAGATACTAAATAATGGGCTCAAGTGGGCCTTGCTCGTTTATGGGCTTATATATAGTTTAAGGCTAAGCTAAGGTTTTCGACTTCATCTTCCTATTCCAGAACATTCTTCTTCTCTATCTTACTGTCCCTATCTCACTTCGTCAATACCTTCTCTATCTTACTGTCCCTATCAAATACCAACGAAAACAGGGGAAAATAGGGTCTCTGCAATCACCTTGAGAAGAAATTCGGATTCTGGCCGGCGAGGTTGACGTTGGATCCGGAAGTACCGGCTCCGGAAGTACCGGCTCCGGAAGTACCGGCTCCGGAAGTACCGGCTCCGGCTAGACGATCATTCACCCGTCCATTCTCGGCGTCGACGATTTCTTGGTTGTCGCCATGGGGAAAAGCTCTGCGAAACCGGAAACCACAAGATGTAAAATAGAGAAAACAAAAGCAATCGGAGAAACGAAGTCACCGGAAAACTTACGTGTGGACTTCGCCGGCGTCCGTGGGCGGAGCACTGAAGCAGTTGCAGAGTGTGTCGGAACAAAAACACAAGATCAACAAGACAAAAAAAAAAAAAAAAGAGGAGAAAACCAACGAAAACAAGTCATCGAGACAAACCTGCCGCCACCGACGATTTCTTCGTCGTCGTCATCGGAAGAAGCTCTGCGAAACCGGAAACCACAAGATGTAAAATAGAGAAAACAAAAGCAATCTGAGAAACGAAGTCACCGGAAAACTTACGTGGGCGGAGCACTGAAGCAGTTGCAGAATCTGTCGGAACAAAAACACAAGATCAACAAGACAAAAAAAAAAAAAAAAAGAGGAGAAAACATACGAAAACAAGTCATCGAGACAAACCTTGAGAAGAGGTTCCAGTTCTGGCCGCCGCCAATGTCGTCTTCGTGGTTGAGAAGCCCAGTCTCGAGGTCGTTGTCTGCCGGAGGTTGGAAACAAACAATCAAGGCGAAGATAGCACCAAGAGATCCAAAGAAGCCGCCGTTTCCTCCGGCGTTGTTCACGACGCCTTCTCTAGCTACGCGCTCTGCATCAGTCTCGGTGGGTGGTGGATCCGTAGGAGCAAGTCCGGTGGTCGAGTCAGTCGACGACATTTTTGTTCTTTTGTTTGTTCTCTCTCTTTCTCGGCTAATGTGTAAGAGAGAGAGTGTTGCTACCGTTCATTAAATAAGCGTGGAGTGTGTGTGTGTGTGCTTGGCGTATCATAGTAGCGCACTTTAGTGCCTAGGGTTTAGGTTACGCTGGATCAAACCATGGGAAAAAAAAAGCGTACAACTTTTCACGAATGTTATTATAAAGCTTTATGAAATGTAATTTTGTTTACTGAAAACACAGTAACGATTTAAACATATCAACAAACATAATTTGCCAACTTTTCAGTCTATCATCATCATTAAGGAGTAGTTTGTTTTCTTTCTTTTTTTGCTTGTTTGTCAATATGTATGTGTTAGTGTCTCGTCGCTTCATTAATGCCCTGGTCGATGATTCAAACGTAAAAGTTGCTTTTATGTTTAAAATTACGTCACCTAGCTAGTGCTTACACAGATTTTTTCAATAGTTTTTCTTCATTATAACCATATAAGGAGAAATCATATATAAAAAATCGATATATGTATGTGTGTGTCTTGTTGCTTCATTAATTGCTCTATCTTTTTCTTTTTCTTTTCCTTTTCTGGGAGTGTGCGCAGCGCAGAGTATGCCTAGCGCAGAGAGGGAGATAACTGAAGAAATGGTTCATTATACAGTACTATATAACAGATTTATTTGAATGAACACACACACATGACACATGTAAATGTGTATTTTCGGAAAGAAAAATACTAACTTGCTATGTAACAACAAATCACACTACTATGTGAGGGAATGAATACTTTTATATATAAAAGAATAGTTTGTTTACAAAAACCGTGGCTAATTTGTATATGTGACAGATTAAACATTTGAGTTCACAACGCAATGCAACAAATTCTTAATACAACTTAAAATAGGTTCATTTGCTATATCATCCCTTTTTCCTTCTTCTTCTTTTCCTTTTTATAGTTCATTTTGGATATTTGCTTAAACAACCTACACAGCTGGGAACAAAATCTTTAGACAAACTAATTTGAACAACAACAACGTTTCTCCCTGAAATTTTGATGATTCACAAAATATAGTACTAATCACTAACTAGTACTTACTAAATGACGAATATACATCAATCAAGCAGTCAAATCAAGTTTATAACCAAAAAAAAAAAAATACATCATCAAGTCTGACCAAAATAGAAATGAAGCATCAAGGATCAAGCTATATTATCCCCTTAAGTTACAAATACTGTTATTACTAATTTGGTTTTTTTTTCTGTCTTTACACTCATTAATGCTGATCGATAATGGTTTAATAATTACAAACACACACACACAAAAAAAAAAAAAAAAAAAAGGGAGAATGGAAAAATCCCAAGGATCCCCTTACACCTTAAGACTAAGTACGGTCGTTTAGTAAAACAGGATAGAGCTAGTCGTGAGAACAATTGTGATTAGTGTTCAATTGTTAACTGGGAACCCTAATTGCATTATATATAGTTAGGGTTCAAACAAACCGCGTTAATTTTTATTGGGTTTCAGATAAATTATAGCATTATATAAATAAATAAAATACAGGAAGAAACGACAAAAAGAATATAGTTATCACATGTACAAGGTCCATTTTATTCTGTTTAATGTCTAGCATTTTTACGTGGGGTCTACTTGTCGATCTTCTCTCATACTATATGTTATACACCACCCGATTGGAAGATAGCATATTATATATATATATATACACATTAATATAATTACTTATTTGATTTTCGCGTGATCGATAATAATAAATGATTAATCGATGGGTCGGGAACGTTACTAATTAACGTAATTAGCGTAGTAACAAATCAATTATCAATAATTGCACACGTGTTGATTTATAGATTGTGGATGTGTGTTGTTGTAATAATTATCCGTTTTTAGACAGTGTGTAATACGTTCGTTCTATCATTGATCTAATCGATGCAGAATCAACCAAATCAGATAGAGATACGAAAAAGACCCATTTATTTATTGTGTGTTATGTACTCGACCTATTTTAGTATTTTACTATTTTCTTCTTTTCTCAAATATTAGTGGAGGAAAGGAAATAAATAAAAGTTTGTTTTGCCTTTCACCTCTCTCCTCTCACCAAACCGAGAACCCTACATCTCGATTCTGATTTGCCTCTCCGGCGCCGGAGAGGGCTCCGTTGCTTTCCCTTTCCGTTTCTCCTTTGTCCTCCCGTCTCTTTGGTCGGAGGTTTGCCGCGGCGGCTCGCCCACGCGCTCTGCGTCTTCTTGGAGGTGGTTGTTCGGAGTGAAGCCTTTGCGCGGTGGCAAGGAGAGTTCCGGCTTCCGGCTTTTCTTTAATTTATCTTCGTGCGGCGGTTCCTCTCTCCGTCATGGGTTGTGGCTTTGATGGGTCGCTTGAGTGTTTTGGGGATCTCCCCTTCTCGGGTTACCTTCAGGTTCTTGATTTGGATTTTCCGGTGGATCTTCAGATCTGCTCATCCTCTGGGTTCGTTTCCGGTGGTTACGTATTCAGTCGAGTGGCGGTTTACGAAGTTTCTAAGCTGTCTTCACATGCATCCATGATATTACACAGAAAGCTTTCTTGACGAATGGGAATCTGGTCCTCAACAAAACACAAACCATATATCTTCTTCTTGGTGGTCTCGACGAGACGGTGTTTGTGTCCGGTCGGCAGTGATTCGTCTGGGTTTGGTCGACTAGTGAGATGGCGTTGCTGGTCAAGCATCGAAGCCTTGAAGACACGTCACGTCCGGATCAAATCATTCATTCGTACGTTATTGAGTTTTTTTTTTTTTTTAAACATCTATATATTAACTATACGACTTCTGTCGCTTTTTTTTTAGATCCTGTATCTGATCGCTTTTTTAATTACTTAATAATATTCGTTAAATTGAATGTTTTGTGATTGTTCCTGTGTGCTTCACACTTCTATATTAATTAACTAGTAGTAGAAAAGTAGTATTTAATTTAGAATCGGTTGCTTAGAAAATCTATGTTATTGAAAAGAAGATAGTAATAATTAATTATGTGTAGCGTCACTTGTCTCAATTGATGCTGAAATACGTACAGAATTACTCCTTTTACGACTTTATCTCTAGAGATGTAGCTTGATTAGTCCGACGGGTTTGATCACCATTGACTGGTCTTTAACATCTCTCTGGGATCGCACAACAACACAATTTTAATTTCTGTTTATTTTCTTTATTTTGAGCGAGGAATCCAGCACATGCAAAGACAATTGATTATTATATTATAATTGGAACATTTAGCAATACCAGTTACGTTGTATTAATTGACGGTTTATGATTATGCTTAACATATCACTTTGAAATTCTGATGCAACACAATTGTTTTTATTTTACTGATGAAATGGTTTCTTCTCCATTTTACCATGGTTCTAAATTCTTTTTGTAATGGGCCGGGAGGTGTGTACGTAGTTCTTTATTTATTATAGAATAATAATACATTACAAAATTGTTTGCTGTGATTATGGAATGGGTTGTCTTTATCTAGTAGTGTTGTATGTGTCTTAAGCTATAATTTGAGTGACTCGTTTTGGTTTCCAGGTTTCTCAAACGAGTTCAATAACAACCAAATCTCTTTTCAAAGTTTATATTTACATATATATATGATCTGCCTTAATTTTGCGGTAACATCTCTGATCTAATTCCACTTCCAATTATCATTTGTTGAGAATTTTTGGAATGAATGGTTGTTATTGTCTATCAAACAAATTTATGTACTGTTACAGAGTTTGGTTGTGATGACTTTGTGCATGAATTCTTAATTCAAACAAAGTAAGGTGTGGTTGCAGATGAATAGAATGGACTCCCATGCAAGAACTTTACCATATGTGCATATTCCACTCTTACTATGTGTGGAATAAATTAGAGTAGACATGGACCAAATGACAAATAAAAGCTTGATCAAGTGACGATGGAAGTTACGTTACTGCCACTCCTTAACTATAAAACGCTAATTATTTACACTTATCATTCAGTTACAGTTAACGTACCTCATCAAGTTTGAAGTTTTTAGTTTGGAAATTAATGAGATATATGGATGCCATAAAGCATTGTTTTGATGAAGTTTTTGGGATGATTAGACTTGGTAGAATTCACCATTATATGGAAAACAAGTCTTCCTACAACGTAGATTTTTGACGGAAATTGTCGTCTAGTCTGGTGGACTGTGCTGCGTCTCGACAAATTTCTTTAATACTAGTGTTGATCAACATGCTTAATTTTTGTTGTTACGTCTTCGACAATCTATGATTTATTTTTGCTCCAAGTGAACGGTACAGATTTTTTCCTCATAATCTAATAAACAAAATATTTCCGCGCTTTCAAAAGAGGCCCTTAGTCCATGCCAAAGGCTTCTTCATCTTCAATGGTTCTGATTCTTTGTTTATATTTATTGAAAGTCCCGTAGTTGACGGGTGTAGCCACCGCTTCAACCTCATCGTAAGTTAGGCATTTCGTTCTTATCTCTGAATATCTATGCATCGATCGTTTGCTTCCAAATTGATATATGTAAGTCCAATCATAGTTTCGTTGATTACTTTAGATTTATGGGTTTCTCTGGGCAATCAATCATAGATTGAAACGTTTAGAAAATTCTAAATCATTTTTTCCCAGTCCCGAGAACATAGATGCGTTATTTAATATTCTAAAATTATAATATTTTCTATATTAAGATATATCTGAAAAGGAAAAAATATTTATATATATGTAAAGAATAAAAATATAAACTTTTGAAAAACATTATATGGATATAAAGAAAATATAAAATTTAATTATTAGAATATATAAAAAAAATTATATTATTATTAGTCTCACTACGTTAGTTTCAAGTTAGTATATATAAAAAAATTAATAATTTTAAAATAATATAGTTAATTGAAATTAGAGAGAGTACATGTAAACATGAAAATTAAACTCACGTAGATATGTTTACCTCTCTTTAATAAAAGAAAATTTTCAAAACAAAAAAAAAAGAAGCAAATAAGTTATTATTAGCATTAATAATTTTAGTTTGTAAAATATATTA